CCCATATTCCTGCTGTCCCTCAAGGGTCTATGACAGAGGTGTCAAACTCCATTTCATTGAGGGTCGAATCAGGGTTGTGTTTGACTTTGGAGGGCCGGGGTGGATGTGGCCAGCCGTACATCACTTGTGTTGGAGGTGCCTGTGGTGGCCCGAGCAGTCTGCCAGCAAAAACAGGCTCCCAAGCTCTGTTTTTGGGCTGCGCGGCCTTCTGCAATCCCCTCCCGAGCTTCGTTTTTGCTGGCAGAGGCACCGCAGGCTGGTCCTTCCATTTCCAGGGCAACCCCGCCGGGCCAGATCTAAGCACCCCGTAGGCCACGGGCCTTGAGTTTGACACCCCTGGTGTAATGACAATTTGCCTTGGCCAACTCACACCACGGCTAACTCGCCGACACTGCCAACTCGCCGGACAACTCACTGCAGGCCAAGAGTGACACTAATATCAAAGAAATGGTGGATTAAAGAAAGGATGGAAAAGGACGGACAGAATGAAATGTATGTCAACTCATAAAATATTTCTATGGTCTTTTTGGAGTTGCCAACAGGAAAGGAGGGAGGACCAGTACAGTAGCTTGCAAAACTGGAAGTGCTTTCAAAGATAGTAACTAGGTGACTGAAATTTCTACCGCACAAAATTCTAACTGGAGAGCATGATTGATGACTCTGGGCTATGGATGTGTCCCATTGGAGAATATGAATTACGATACATCCAGCGGGTGGGGGGAAACCAGGGTCAAGGGGAACAGTGAATGACATGTCTCAGAGTTGGCTACACCCAGGCAATGCTGGACCTTTTAACTCCCAATAAATCCTTTTGGAAGTTTTGCTTGAGACTCATGATTTAAACGGGGTTAAGTGCCGGAATCCTAACGATGTAAATGGCAAAATTTAAAATAATTTTTTAAATTTTATTTTAAAGCATTACATAGAATTGTTAAATTGTCCCTCAGCGAATTGTTCCCGCGGCGAGATGGCTGCGGCAAGTTGGCCCAGTGGTGGGATTCAAATAATTTAACAACCGCTTCTCTGCCCTAATGATTTCTTCCAACAACCACTTCACCAAATTGCTCAGAAAGTTAACAACCAGTTCTCAGGAACCGGTGCAAACCGGCTGAATCCCATCACTGGAGTTGGCCATGATGAGTTGGCTGTGTCAAGCTGTTCCATTCCCATCCCCAGCTGTTCCTTTGCGGTGATACACTGCCCTGAGACATGGAGGTTTCAAGCAGCCCCCTCACGCGCACAGTGGTGGAACCACAAGTCCTGCCAAATCGGTTTGAATCCCTTCCGTCAGTGTTTAGAGCTACATTGCTGAAATTTTAGCAACTTGAAAGGTGGTGAAGTCTTAAAGTTGCTGAGGTAGGAGGAACCTTGGTTTACAAGTTAGCGTGGAAAGATCGTGCCTTCCGTTGTGCAGTTCCCAGGATGATTGTCAGAAATGACAAACGGATATAGCTGTGCGAAAACAACTTTGCATCCACCAGAACTGTGAGGTTGTGTTAGCAAAGGCTGGGGGCTGTTGAGGAGGGAACGGCTAAATTCACACCATCTCCAAGTCCTAACATGGTTAAACCAGCCTGAACGGATATTCAGGTAGCCCTCAATGTACGGCCGCAATTGAACCCAAAATTTAGGTTTGCTCGGTGATAAATTTGTCAAGTTTGGCCCCCCTTTTACGACTTTTCTTGCCGTAAACTGAATCACAGCAGTGGTTAAATTCGTAAGATGGTCGTTAAGTGAATCGGGTTCCTCGCCCTTGACTTTGCTCGTCAGAAGTTCGCAAAAGGGGGAACACTGAGACCGTCGTAACTGTGAGTCCGTTGTCAAGCATACCGCACGTCAATCATGTAACTGTGGGGATGCTGCCATGGTCATAAGCGTGGAGAAACAGCCACAAGTCACCTTTTCCAGTGCAGTTGTAACTTCTAACTGTCATTAAGTGAACTGTTGTAAGTCAAGGACTATTGATATAAGGGCCGCTCCTTTAATTCTCTATGGTTGTTTCAAGGCATGCTGGCTGGGGAATTCTGGGAGTTGAAGTCCACTCCTTTTAAAGTCAGTAAAGTTGAGAAATTCTGCCTTAGGGCTCTCCCAGCCATGGTTGACAGCAGGTAGAACCTGCGATTTGGGTACAGTGATGTTTGAACAACTCTCGTACAGGTAGTCCTCCACTTACGGCAGTTCGTTCAGTGACCGTTCCAAGTTACAACGGCGCTGCAAAAAGTTGACTTACGGCTACTTTTTCACACTTTCAACCATGGCTACCTCCCCATGGCCACGCGATCAAAATTTCAACGCCTGGCAACTGACTCATGATGGCCGCAGTGTCCTGGGGGTCATGCGATTTCCCTTTTTGCGATCTTCTGACAGGCCAAGTCAATGGGGGCAAACCAGATTCACTTAATGACTGAATTACTAACTTCTCAGCTGCGGCGATTCGCTTCACAACAGTGGTGTCAAAAAAAAATGCTTCTTTGGTCTTTTTAGTTGCCAGCAGAAAGGGAGTGGGGCGGCGGGGGGGAAAGTAGTGCATTCCTTAAATGCTTCAGATAATTGCTAGGCAGCCAAAGCTGTTGGCGCACAAGATTATTACTGGAGAGCATGATAGATGACTCTTGGCTATGGATGCATCCCATTGGAGAATATACATCCAGGGGGATGGGGGGGAAACCAGGGTCAAGGGGGAAATGAATGATGTGTCTTAGTGTCGGCTGCACCCAGGTCACACCGACATGGTCACTCCTAATAAATCAATTTTTTTTTAAACTCTGAGAGATGCGGCCAGAGACTTATGATTTGAAGGGGGGTGGATTGTCAGAGCCCTGACAGGTGGCAAGAAAGGTCAGAAAATGGACCAAGTCACTGAACAAATGTCTCGCCTAAGCGCAGTCATTTTGGGCTCTGTTGTGGTCGTACGCCGAGTTTCTTTCTTGTACGTGATGTATACATCTGCAAATGAGAAAGAAATGGGGCGTGTACTTCAAGAATTAGGGCAGGGGGCTTAGCAGTCGGAGGTTTGGGAGGCACTGGAGCGGCAGGGTGAGGGTTTCCGTCCTCGTCCAACTATGTCACGTGAAGTCCATGCCTCCATATTCCCTTTGGGAGGTTCAGATGCACCCTGCGATAAGCCCCGCGAATGATTAAGCAAGTGGTGCGAATGACCCAAGCGGCCTTCCCTGGAGGGAAGAGGACACTTGTCCACTGTGCTGTACGGGGCGCAAAAACCTCTTGGCTGTCAAGAGCAGGTCGTTTATCTTCTGCCTTGGTTCTGCACCTCACTTCTACCGTGTGTATACGGCCGCAGCCAAGATCGCCTTAAAAAAAATCATCTAAGAATGAAGATGGAAGAACTTGATAGAAGACAATGTTGGGGGCCCAAGGAGCTCCGTGGAAGCGAGTTCTAGTCTCCTTGGGACTTCCACGGAGTGTATGGAATTGCCATAGAATGCATGGAACTCCTATGGAGTGCATAGAACTTCCACGGAGTATGTGGAATCGCCATGGGGTACACAGCGTTTTCACAGAAAGTGTGGGACTTCCGCAGAGCGCACGGAACTCTGACGGAGTTTACAGGACATCCCCAAACAACCCCATCCATGTCACAGTCATGGAACTTCCACGGAGTGCTCAGAACCTCCATGGATTATACAGAACTTCTACGGATTGTACGGTCCTTCCGTAAAGTGCGCAGAACTTTCCGCAGAGTGCAACAGAGCTTCCGTGGGCCTTACGGAACTTCCACAGAGCGCATGGGACTTCCGTGAATCGCACAGCACTTTCCGGGAGGGCATGGCACTTTCACAGCGCGCAGAACTTCCACAGATGGCGTGGAACTTTTTACGAAATGCACGGCACTTCCATGAACGCCCTTCCACGGCGTGTATACAGAACCTCCAAGGAAGGCATGGAACTGTCATGGAGTGCAGAGGCAGGACAAGGAACTGCAAGCAACCTCCCCTTCCGACACCCCTGCGCCTGTATCACTAGCTGGGCTCAGCAAAGGGCTTGCCAAAGTGTCATAGTCCTTGGAAAACCCGGAATGAAATCAGTTGTACTTCCACCGCCTCGCTTTATAATTCGATAAACCCCATTCAACATACAGCTTGCTCTAATCAGACCAAACCGGGCCCTGCCTTCTAAAAGGTTCACGTAACACACTCAGTTAAAATGGAGTGGCCTCGTTTACTTTCCGTCTGTGGGGCAAACCCGGAATTTCGTTCTCTTAAAGTTAGGGAATTGGCAGAGCTTTAGCATGTTGTGCAAACGCAAACCAAGGGACTTGGTAAGAAACGATATTTTAAAAAGCTGGAAACCCTCTCCAGGGTGGGGCCCAGCCTGGACCGCTGAAAGCCAGGGTGAAATTTTCCAGCTTGACCCACTTCCCACCCATCACAATCAGACTTTCCGCCCACCGTGGAACACTCAGGCATTCGGTGCTCAGAGCTGGGTGTGATCGGAGTACAACTTTTGCTGTGGTGGGACCCACGTGTAGCACCAAGGAGAAGGGGGCTTGGGGTCTCTTCCCCCCCAGCCCCGAAAGTTCTTGTTCTTAGAGAAGAACAGCAGCCCTGCAGGAGCTCAGGATGAGCGGTTCACATCTGTGTGTGTTGGCGTGCGTGGAACCCATGGGAACCACGCAAAAAACAAAACAAAACCCAAAACAAAACAGGAAGAGGAAAAAAACCGAAACTGACAATGGTAATTTTTGGAGAGTTCTTTCACAGTCCGAAACAGAACCTCCCCTGCCCTTCGGGAGCCAAAAATAAAATTAAAAAGAGGGGTGGGGGGAGAATGAGTAAAGAAACGAGGGGGCCACCCCCCCCCCAATGCTTTGTGCAACCTTCCCACTCCTTTTTTTTTTTTTTTTTAGCAGCAGATAATCGTTGCAACTCGTTTCACGATCGCTGTTCCTTCCTGACTTACTGAGAGTACCTTTGCCCACCCGCGGATGGGTGGGTCAGTGCCCCCTGCCTGCCCATCCCCTCAGGGAGGAGGAGGAGTTTTGCAAAGGCAAGGAAGTATCCAATGAGGAAGCGCCAGGATGAAGAGAACCCCAAAAACACACACACGCACACACGAAGAAAAGAACCTCCTTTTTTTTTTTTGTATCTCGCGCAGATCTGGAACGCTTTGGGAAGTGGGGCATTCCGGTCGTTCCAAGCCACCTACGGGGGGAATCAAGCATCTCTCACTGTTGTTTTCCTGCTTTGCTCTTCCTCCTCCTCCTCTTCCTCCTCCTCCTCCTCCTCTTCCTCTCTGCAGCAAAAATCCCCACCCCTCGTGTGAGGAAGAAGGTTGCCAAGCCAAGCCACACACCCCTGACCAGCCCTATTTGACCGAAGATGGAGTCCGTTCTGCGCCACTGTATTTCAAGAGATGACTGTAGTCTGTGAGGGTGTGATGGGGTCCCGGCGTCGATGTCCGCTGGGCTCGGGCGTGGGGGGCCTGACCTTCCCCACTGTTGAATGTGTGGGTGCGCCTCAGGTGAGCACTTCCCTTGCTGCCCGTGCTGTTACTATTAAAGTTCAGCTTCTCGGGATTCCACTGATTGCCCGTGTCCCCGGTCGGAGCGGATACCACCCGCCGACGATCGGGGCTGTCGTGCGGCGTGATCGGCAGCTCGCTGCCGTATGAGCTCCGCGTCCCGCAAGGTCGATGCACCAGCAGGCCTGGCTGGGATTGGATACCCCTCGGTCCCTCACCACCGCTCACCGGGAGATAGCGCATGTCTAGCGAGAGGTCTGCTCCCTCGCTGTCCAGTTCTTGGTCCATCAACACGGAGTGGCAGGAAATGGGGATGACTCGTCCGGAGCTCAGGTGCGATGGCACTGGGGTGTGTCCCGCATGGAGAAGGATAACCGAGGATGGCGGGTCTCCGCCGCGCAGAGAAGCGTTAATGAGATTGTGGCTGTACTCCCAGCTGCACGGCTTGGGGTACCGCTTTTGCTGCAAGGGGGTCTGCTCCGGGGTGGGGAGTACCCCTGAATCGAGGTCATGCGGGCCCATCTTAATCAGTCCTTTGGGCCACCCGTTCTGCATGAGCGGAGCCAACAAGTTCTCTGGTTGGCTGCCAGGTCCCCGGGAGCGCCGATCTCCCAGCCGGCTGACACTGACCACGGATTCTCCGTGAGCAAGGATGTTCTCCTTGTCTCTCCGGCGGGCCAGTTCCTTACGGTCTCGATGCCCGATGAACCAGCACACGCTAAAGCCCGAGATCACTGCTCCGATGACGAAGGCAGCCACAGAAGAGATGACCAGCAAGTTGACGGACACCAACCCGTTGGGTTCATCCACAAAGCTTTCCGTCAGCAGGCCTGTAGGAATAACGAAGAATAACAGGGTTGGAAGGGGCTTTGGAGGTCTTCTAGTCTAACCCACTGCTCAAGAAGGGGGACCCTACACCATTTCAGAGGAATTGTTGAATCTGTCACCTGCTCCTCTACAACTGCCTGGTTTGGTTCTGCAACCCAACAAGACAGACACAGACTTCAGAGGATAATTAGGACTGCAGAAAAAACATAGGCTACCCCCTGCCTTCCATTGAGGACCTGTATCCTGCATGAGTCAAAAAGAGAGCTGTGCAAATCCTTACAGACCCCTCACATCCCGGACATAAACTGTTTCAACTCCTTCCCTCAAAACGATGCTATGGAGCACTGCCAATATTCATTTTGGAGCATTGGAATCAATTTCTAGTTCCTTTTTCTGGTTTCAGGAGATATTGGTGAGTTTACCAGAACAATCTGGAACTGAACACACTCAAAACCATAGAAATGGTGGTAGATTTTAAAGAGAAACCCTCCCATACTACCACTTCTTACAATACTAGACGACACAGCATCAACAATAGAGACCTTCACGTTTCTAGGTTCTATTATTTCACATGACTTAAAATAGACACCTAACATCAAAAAAAGCCATCAAAAAATCACAATAAAGAAGTTTCTTTCTGCGCCAACTCAGGAAGCTCAAACTGTCCAAGGAGCTGCTGATCCAGTTCTACAGAGGAATGATGGAGTCTGTCATCTGCACCTCCATCACTCTCTGGTTTGGTTCTGCAACCCAACAGGACAGACACAGACTCCAGAGGGTAATTAGGACTGCCGAAAAAACAATTACTACCAACCTGCCTTCAATCGAGGACCTGTATAGCCAAAAGGAGGGCTGTGAAAATATCTACAGACCCCTCACATCCCGGACATAAACTGTTTCAACTCCTACCCTCAAAATGAGGCTATAGAGCCCTGCACACCAGAACAACTAGACACAAGGACAGTTTTTCCCTGAACGCCATCCCTCTGCTAAACAAATAATTCCCTCAACACTGTCCAACTATTTACAAAGTCTGCACTACTATTACTATTAACCTTCTCATCACTCCTTATCACCCATCCCTTCCCACTTGTGACTGTATGACTGTAACTCTGTGGCTGGTATCTTTATGATCTATATTGACTGTTTCCTAGTATGATTTGATTGCTTATTTATACCCTATTATTTATACCCTATGACTATTATTAAGCGTTGTACCTGATGATTCTTGACTCTCGGCGAATGTATCTTTTCTTTTATGTACACTGGGAGCATTTGCACTGAAGACAAATTCCTTGTGTGTCCAATCACACTTGGCCAATAAAGAATTTCTATTCTATTCTATTCTATTCTATTCTATTCTATTCTATTCTATTCTATTCTATTCTATTCTCTATTCATTCCAATATTCTATTCTATTCTATTCTATTCTATTCTATTCTATTCTATTCTATTCTATTCTATTCTATTCTATTTCTATTTCTATTTCTATTTCTATTCCATTCCATTCCATCTCTATTCTATTTGATTCTCCCTTTTCTCTTTCTCTCTCTATTCTCCTCTTTCCTTTCCATTCCATTCCATTCCATTCTGACAAGTGGCTGTCCAATCTATTCCTAAAAGCCTTCAATGATGGAGCACCCACAACTTCTGGTGCCAAGCAGTTCCACTGATGAACTGTCCTCACTGTGAGGAAAATTTTCCTTAGTTCTAGGTTTGATCCCTCTTTTATGATCTTGCCTTCGGGTGCTTTATAGAATAGATCAACTCCCTTCTTCTCTACGATAACCCCTCTAATATTGAAAGACAATTATCATATCACCCCCTAGTCCTCCTCTTCATTAAAATAAATTGAATTAAAATAAAATCAATAGAAATAAAGTAAAATAAAATTGGCTGAGGTACGACTGACAAACATAGCCTAAGAATTTTGGGGAACAAATACGACTTTGCTAGTATTTTATTTACATACAGATAGTCCTCAACGTATGACCACAATTGAGCCCGAAATGTAGGTTGCTAAGTGAGACGTTTTAAGTGAATTTTGCCTCGTTTTACAACCTCTCTTGCCACATTCGTTAAGGGAATCACTGCAGTTGTTAATTTTGTCACAGGCTCTTTAAACGAATCTGGATTTCCCCGTTGACTTTGCTCGTCACAAAAGGGGATCATGGCACCCCCCCAGGACATTGCAATCCGTCATAAATATGGTCAGTGGCCAAGTATCTGAATTTTTGATCGTGTGACCATTGGGGGATGCTGCAATGGTCATTAAGTGCGAAAAACAAATTGTAAGTCACTTATTTTAGTGCTGTTCTAACTTTGAACAGACACTAAACAAACGGTTGTTAAATCAAGGACTATCTGTAGTCTTTTTTTTTTAATATTGTTTGCCGGCCAGTGTTTTTAACAGATAACGGATAATCAGAGTTGGAAGGGAACTTATAGGTCATCTAGTCCAACCCCCTGCCCAAGCGGGAGACCCTACGCCATTTCTGACAAATGGCAGTCCAGTCTCTTCTTGAAAGCCTCCAGTGATGAGGCTCCCACAACTTCCGAAGGCAACTTCAGTTCCATGGGTTGATTGTTGTCCCTGTCAGAAAATTTCTCCTTAATTTCCAGGTTGAATCTCTCCTTGTTCAGTTTCTATTCATTATTATTTGCCTGGTCGGTCTTTGGGTGTCTTGGAGGATAGCTTGACCCCCTCCTCCTCTCTGGGGCAGCCCCTCCTCAAATATTGGAAGACTGCTGTCCTGTCTCCCCTGGTCCTTCTCTTCATTAGACTGGCCAGGCCCAGTTCCTGTAACCGTTCTTCATATGTTTTAGCCTCCAATCCCCTAATCATCCTGGTTGCGTTACCCTGAGCTGTGGTAAAATGGCCGGCTGATAAATTGGATAAATAAAGAAAATTAAAATGAAATTAATGATTTATAGTAGGGGTGCTTCAATCTTGCCCGCAGGACTGGTCTGGAAATATCAAAGGACCAGCCTGCGGTGCCTCTACCAGCCTGTTCTGACCCAAACCTTGTTCCAAGGAAACAAACACGAAGCGGAGGTAACCGCTAAAACTTTTAATGATTCTTCACCTATTCCGTCCCTTCCCGGTTCAAAGGCTGTTTCCAACGAATTGTCTCTGATAAGAGCGAGCCTTGCCAAGGTTGTGCAAGGCTGCCAAGTGCACTAGATAAAGTTGCCAAGAAATAGTTCAAACCCAAAGAGTCTCCAAACACCAACTAAGAGAGTCCGAATGTTCACAAGGCTTGAGTGCAAAAACTTCTTTGCTTCCTGCAAAGAACTCGGGTTTCTCAGCTGGCTTTTATCTCTTAAGGGAGGGGCCATTACCTTGCAGCCTTGCTCCCGAGTCGCCCGTGCTGCTGCAGCTGCTGTTTCCTTCGAGCAGCCCTGCACGTATGCGCACTGAGCACAGGCTCCTCGGGGGTCTCTTCCTCACTGCTGCCAGCCTCCACAATCTCCGAAGGCAGCACCCCACTCCCTGATGGTCCTGGCCCCATCCCTGCATCACATGCAGGCCCCTCGTCTGAGTCCTCGCCCTCCGAGGCCTCAGCCATCCACACCTGCTGCCGATGAACTACAACACAGCCAAAACGTGCTGTGGGGTGTGTGTGTGTGTGTGGCCCGTTTTTGGCCTTCAGGGCCTCCTGCAGTATTCTGCCAGCCGAAAATGTGGCGCAAGGCCTTCGCGCAGCTTGCTTTTGGCCTTCCTGACTTCAAATCTACGTGGCTTGTTTTCGGCTGGCAGAGGGGTGCAGGAGGCCAGGGAGGCCCAAAAATGGGCCATGTAGGGCTCGCCTGCACCCCTCCCCCATTTTGGGCAGCAGGGTTTTGGGCTGCAGGAGGCCATCCATCCAGGGGTGGGTTTCAACCGGTTCGCACCACTTCGGCCAAAAACGGTTGTTCAATTCCTGGCTGGCCCATCCCCTCCCTTCCACTCCCTTCCCAGGAGTCCCCCCATGCCCCGTTTGGCTCCCAGGGAAGTGCAGGGAGGCCCACTAGGCCCAAAATGGGGTGCAGAGGGGTGCAGCGCCCCCCTGCGGCCCATTTCTGCTCCCAGGAGGCTGCAGGGAGGCCCACTAGGCCCAAAATGGGGTGCAGAGGGTGGTGCAGTGCAGGCCCCCTCACGGCCCATTTCTGCTCCCAGGAGGCTGCAGAGAGGCCCACTAGGCCC